GACTCCCAACTGGAAATTACAGTTTTTAGCAGTTCTTTATCACGTATTCACCTTTCTGTTACACATCACCATCAATGACAAAACAAGGCTGCATTTATTATTCGTCAAAAAAGCAGTTTCAACACTGGGAAACGTAGCTGGCCACCAAACTAAAAAAAACAAAACTCGTCTTCTAAATATAAAATCTCTGAAGGGCCAAGCTGGACAAAGCATTTTATACTCCCAAACAGATTAACGGGAACTTCAAAACATTATTGTGTAGAAAACAATAAGGGCTTTTTTTTTTTTGTTCCCTCAGCTCAAAACCCATGTTTATATGTATCCTTTAAAGATACACACACACATATATATATATATTTTTAAAATTCATGATTCAGTGCTCGGTAAAGCTCTTCTTCTCGGTCCAGATATGAATTTACTTATATAAACTGTACAAAGGAAGCCTGTCTTCGGCCTTTCTCTCTGTATTTTCTGTGTTAGCATCTCTATTGCACATTTCAGTGAAGTGTTACCAGGTGTCACCTAGTGGGGGCGCTGTTCCAGGCAGGGCCTGCAGTCACCCCTCCATGTGAAGCCAATTCTGCACAGGGAAGGTTTTGCTGATGTTGGCTCTTTCTACCTTCTGTGTTCCTGGCCTCTCTTGTTTTACTTTCCTTTTGGTCTATCATTTGACTGCTATTCTTTATTCAAAACATTTAAATAAGCCAAGTGTAGTGGCACACACCTGTGACCCCAGCAGGCTGGGAGGTTGAGGCAGGTGTTCACCTATTTAAGTCAGAAGTTTAAATCTGGCCTGGGCAGAGTTAGCAAGATCCTGCTTAAAAAAAAAAAAAAAAAAAAAGGTTGAGATTTAGTTCATTGCAAAGGTCCTGGGTTCAATTCCCAGACCACACACACACAGTTAAATAAATGTTCAGATTTATTTTATTTATTAAATAATTCCTTCTTAGGTATGAAACAAATGATCAAACAATCAAATAATAAAATTATAAACTGTTCTCTTTGATGAACTAACAGAGATTCTTATAACCTGAACATCTACTTCTAAGATAACAATATGCAACATATTAACTAGTGTTCATTTCCTACTATTGTTTTTGAAATTTTGATCATTTCTATCCTTTTTTCTGTTTTGCTTTTAAAAATAAAACAATTAAAAAATAACTCCTTTTTAACTGACAAAAATTTTGTCTGATAGTCATAAAAATTACTGAGAATATAGGTATTTATTATGTATATATGTATATTTTGGAGATAGGGTCTCTCTCTGTGAAATTCAGGCTGGACTTAAACCCATTGCACAGCCCAGGTTGGTTTGGAACTATTGGTGATCCTCCTGTCTCAGCCTCCCAAGCACTGGGATTACAGGCATGCACCATGACAAGAGCCAATTTTACACGTTCTGATGACACACAGAAAACCTGGAATGTACACAAGGCCATGCGTGTGTTCATCTCTGCTCCTAAGAAGGACCTCGGTGCCATCCTTACTGTACCCCAGAACTGTCTCAGAGAACCCCTGCAGGGGGCCAGGGCAAAGGTGCTTTCACATGGACGGCAGTGGGTGGAGATGGGGACCGTGTCAGTGGGGTTAAGAGATGAGGGAGGGAGGGTGTCACAGGGCACAGACAGACATCAGACAGGACAGACAGGACAAGTATGGGGACGACAGGGAGAGACACAGATGGATGCAGCCCCTGCTCTGGGACCTGGGCTCGGAGCTCTCAGTTACCCTTTAGGGGAAGAAGGGAGAAGCAGAACCTGGTCCAGCAGGAAGCGGCCAGGCTGCCCGTGCTGGGAGCAGCTTGGGAGATGGTGGCCCCCGTCTGCCTGTGCTTCGGGGATCCTCACCTTTTTGCCGGAGCCATGGCCAGCCCAGCCCTGCCATGGGCCTCCTCCTGGCCCTCCTCCTCCTCTTCCTCACCCTCCTTCTCCTCTTCCTCGCCCTCCTCCTCCTGTTCCAAACAAAATTATCTTCTTGGCTTCATCTTCATTTCCCCTGCACCTCTCTCCACTCCTGATATTGCTCATTGATCCTTCCCTCCAGGATTAGAAAGGAGATTAAAACACAGAAGCAAAAACTAAACAAAAAACAATAAAAACTGCTAATGCTTAGCTCTCCTTTCAAAGGCAGTGATGCTCCAGCGGGAGGAAAATGGAGCAGTTATTTCCAGGGCTCACCATGTGTCCAGCAGGTCCCGGCGCCTCCTGCCCTCACCACAGGCTCTGCACGCGACCCACCCCTGAGTCCTGTCCACTCCCCCTCCCAGAGACCCTCCCTTCACATCTGGGGTCCCATCCAGTCCTATCCTTCTCTGCAGAGTGTCGCACAGTTCAGAGACTGTTCCCCAACTGTTCAGAACTAACGGTTCCTCTCGGCCCCTGAGAGTAAGGCTGAGAGTAAGGACAAAGTCCAGTGCGCCCTTTGAGTGCCACCCTGACCGACCAGAATGATGCAGTCCTGCTGCCAGCCTCTCCCCAGCCCAGCCTCACTGTTTACTAAAGATGCTGGCACAGTGTCTTCCAAAGTCCCCTTGCTCGTGGCCCTGAAAACCTGACACAGACAGGAAAGGATTTCCTAATTGCATTACTAGCAGCGTGGTGGGGAAACACTCTGACCTACCTGTCCTGGCTTCCTTTTACTGTTTCCACACATCCGCACTGGCTGTCCGGTGCGTCACTGTCACCTACTACATTAAAATCACGGACCACGCCCTTCCTGGTTCTCCTTAACCGTCCTGAAAGCCCTGTCTGACCTCACATCTAGAATCTGTATTTTTACATCTCATTGGCTGTGCTTATCAAGTGTCTGAATTAGATGAGATCCGGCATGTTCAGGGTAGCAGGCTGAAAGAAGGGAGAAGCGAAAAAAATTGAGAAAAGCGAGAAAGCATGGACACAAAGCTCCTGTAAACGGGGAGGAGCAGAGGGGGGGCTGAAGGAGGGGAGGAAGTGGGAAGAGGAGAATCAAATGACATCAGGTACAGGTCAAAGTCCGTATGGTGAATGTCATCATTATGCATATCTAAAACATACCAATCAAATTTGATTGAAATAAATAAATAAACGGCCATATGAACTGGAAAAAAATCAAAATTAGGTCTTCAGACACAAGTGGATTGGTAACCTTTTAGTTGGTCACTTTTTTAAAAACACAAAACCTACATAATTTCTTCTTTTTCAATTAATCCATAAAAGATAGCTCTGTGTCACTGGCTAGAGTGACACAAAAGAACACAAAAGATTCTATTCTTCTTGTAAGCGAAGGACATCTGTGGGGAGGTGAGTGTCAGGGGTGCGTTTTCTGTAAAACACCTGCATTTCCATCACCCTGGCGCCAGGCAGAGCGCCAAGTAATTATGCGATTATGCATTCGTGCAGTCTCAGGTATCAAAGTCCCCAACCTCACGTGAGAATTAAATATTGGTATGTGGTAACAATTCAATTTCACAATGAATTGTGCCTATGGAGATCTAAGTTATGAATCACTCCAGGTTGGGAAAGGAATCCAGTTTCAGTGTTTTGGTTGAATAATCAGAATTTACATATTTTATCTGCTGCTAAAACAAAGAACTTCAGTTTCTATTATTATTTTCCCCTGGGAGGTTCATACAAACAAGTGGATAAGAATACTGTGTGTGCTTAAAATATTTCTAGATTTCATGGCTTCTAATGAACGTGTTGGTTTTCTTTTTTATTTAAAGGAAAAAAAAAAAAAAAACAGTATAAGGGTACAAGTAATACAGAATTTCAAAAAAAAAAAGAAGACCAGGTAAGAAATCACTAGTTAATAGATTACATATTGTCATCTTAGAAATAGTTGTTCAAGTTACAGGATTAAAGCATACAAAGTAAACATTCAAACAGTGAGACTGCAAATAGTTGTGTTCAATGATCCAACAAAAACTTAGTAATATGGTCATCTATCTTACACACCTAAACACACTTGCAGTTGTATCCTTTGGAGAAATTTTTTCCCTCTCTTTTTTACAACAAAATTTACACATTTTTGGGTTTTATTACTCCCATACTTCTTATTACTTTTTTTTGTGGAAGAGAATAAAACTGACTAAACGTGTTGGTTTTTTTTAATCACGTCAAACAATCTAATTCTGGGGCAAGATCTTTAACTTTGCAGTCTCTTTAAAAAATAAAACTGTCCCAAAACATGGTTCAGGAAGGCATTTGCTGTCTATAAAACTTATTTACACACCTCGAAATACCCAGAGAAGAGTTCAAGGGCTCTCAGCTTACACAAGAGATCACAAACCCTTGAGGTGATGGGCATGCCAGTCCCGCCAATTAGATTATTCCACACTGTATTCAGGGCTCCCACTTCAACCCTGCACCCCATAAAATGTGCACAATTTTGTCAAAATTAAAATATTTTTACAGTTGCCCTATTGCTCAAAAGAAAAGGAAGGCCAAATACTATTGTTAAGAATAGTATTCTAGAAAAAGTGGCTAAAGGAAGAGAAGAGGTTAGGCAGAGCATTCCCTAGTAGCTCCGGATTTCCATTTCAGCTTTCCTGGCAAGTATGAAAACGTTAAACAGCAAATGAAGTGTCATTTGGTAAAAGGAAACAGGACAAACTACACCCAGCAATTTATTTTGATGATACGTGACTTAGCATGGAAGCACAGAACATTTCATTTTGTGACCAGCAAATACTGTGCTTTAAATGACACTGTCTAGGGGGACCCTGAATGTGATAGTGGACATTTCCAGCAAGGAAGACCTCAGTTGAGCTACACGAGCTCCTTGAAGTGGGGCGGGGGATAAACAATTTCCTATGAAACAATTTCCTATGACTGTTTAATTATCTCTGAGATCTGTGACTGCATTCTAGGAAACTTGGCCATGCTAAGGCACTCACCCATCTCTCACAAGAGGGAAGCTATTGCAGGAACAATAAAACCTCTTTTCTCCTATTCCCACTGGCTACACCATTTGCACCTGCTATGATCTCGGCACTATTCAAAGACATGTCTGAGACTCACTCGATGAAGTAGACTTCGCCCTTCTCCGTGTAGGCCATTTCCCAGTTGTCGGGCAAAGGGTCCACGTCCTCGCTGTCCTCGGGCTTGCTGGACTTGGTGTCCTCCATGGTGTCCTTGAGCTCCTCGGGCTGGCTGTACCCCGGGGCAGGGTAAGGCTGGGAGGGTGTCTCGCCGGAGGCTCCTACACTCCTGTCTTCATGTTCACTGGATTCTGCGGGGACAAGAGCCTGGGGTCAGTCCCTGAAGATAGTTACATCCCAGAGCTTCAGACGTGCGAATGTCACCTTGTGTGGCAGAATAGGATTTGCAGATATGGTCAAGTTAAGGACCTTGGGCGGCTTGTGGGGATTCGCTTTGCTAAGCCAGGTGGCTTACCGGGATCACACAGGTCCCTGGACACACTCAAGGCAGAAGAGGAAGAGAAGGAGTTGTGGCTGCTACAGGGAAGCCAGAGGGCAGCAGCGCAGCTGAGTTTGAAGACAGAGAAATGGGACCGTGAGCCGAGGACTCGGTGGGCCCCGTGTGGAGCAGGTAAGGAAGGGCTCTCCTTATTGGGGACCAAAGCAAGGGACACGGCATAGTGAACCTTTTCACTTTGGGACTTGGAGCCGGGCATAGCTGCCACGTAACCTGATTGCTCCACTTTAAGACAGAAGATTTGGGGCAATTTGCTACAGAAGGAGTAGAAAACTAACCAAACACAACAAAAGCCAGAACCACACGTATCTGAACAAGGGTGGGGGACAGACCCTGGACACACAGTTGCCATTCTTTACAATCCTAAAGAAGAAAGCTAGAAGCTTCTACACTGAAGAAACAATTACCCAAGGGGGGGAAGAAGAGCACCAGACCTTGCATGTGTGACACTCTAAGCTCAGACACAGCAGGGTCGCATCTGTGCTAACTTGGGGGATCCACAGCACAGCAAACCTAGGGCTCAACTCTGTCAGGACGGCACTCAGCCCTCTGGGCCCAGACAGTCACTTTTCAACCCGGAAGCCCTGCCTCACATGTGTCCGATCTGAGAACAACATGGGAAGAATTACTCTAACCGTGTCACAACAGCTCCTCTGAGACAGGACTGGAAACGGGGAAAGTGATAAATCCAGGATAATACAGTTAAATGGAAAGGGAGGAGGATGGCATTCCTGAAACTTCCAAGATGTGGGAAAGCCAGGTTAATGCATGGAAATCTAATTACTGCACAGGCGCTAACCCTTCATTTTAGGGAAGTTCAGGCTTTGAAGGTCAGAGAACAGGCAGGGAAATAGAATGTTCTAAAGCCAGCGGGAGATGTCAGAGGGACTGAGAATGAGTGAATGAAATAATTTCAGGGTTACTCTTTGCTGGGGTGGGCTTGTTGGCCAAACATTTTGATCAAGGTATAGGCTTAATTCTATCTTAGACATATACTTGAAATATTCCTGAGTGCGTATTTTCTCTGAGCTATTTATGGTTTTCTTTTCTCATTTAACTTCTCTGGCAGTAAAAACAGACCACAGGTCTTACTGAACAGGGAAGAGTAAAGCACCCATTACATAGAAGAAGAAAGGCCCCGCAAGAGAATGCAAAAACCCACACCCGACAGAGGTTCCAACAGGGCCAGGCTGAAGCGGAGGGTCTTCTGTGCTGTCACTCAGGAGTAACAGCGATGAGGATGAGATGCCATCCAGGAAATAAGAAATTCTGCAACTGTTTGAGGATAAATCAACAGTTGTTAAAATAAAAAGTACATACTCCAAGGCACATACTCTTTGACTCAGTTGTCCTGTTTTGAGAATATATTCTCTAGAATAAAACATATTACTGAATGAAGGTGTCTTATTGTTCATAATAGGAAATCCCTGGAAATGATAGGAATGCTTTTTTATAAGAATATGATTGAGTAAACTGAGCTTCCCATTACTACAGAAAACTATGTAGCTTAAGAACGATGAGTTAGAGCTGTATGTATTGACGTGGAATAAAGCTTATAATTAGTATTTGAAGAGTAACCTGACATTATTAATTAGTACTTGAAGAGCAATCAATATTATTAATGTACAACAGATTGTCAACTGATCACCTCAGGGCAGGAAACGTGGACTGTGATGGACGTTTTCTTTACATGTCTTTGTATCCACTAGTGATTTATCATTTTTATAACTCCAAGAACTAATAAAAGACAACTCAAGAGTCCCGGAAGGTAGAAAGTCAGCTTTGTATCAGTATCCGTTGCCGGGGCCAGCTTCTCTTGCCCTACAAGCTCTCATCGCTTTTCCCTTAAAAAGTGGGAATTAGGATGACAATACGCCTTTAGGGTGCAACCTCTCAGCCTGCTCCTTGTAGGTATTTTGCAATTGTGCAGGTGAGACGCGGCATGAGAAGAAGCCATCATTCATCACGGTTTCTCTTTGCTGCTCCATAGCACAGGACCCAAGGACCTCGACGTGGAACACACGGTAAAACGCCAGGCTGTACAGGAAAGCTGAACTGCCAGGCATGCTCTGAACACGTTCATTTATTCAGCATAGCATTTATGGAGTGTTTCCTCCATACCAGACGCTTAAGACAGGAAAGTAGACATGACAGGCATAATTTCCACTTTTGTGGAACTAAAAAGATGTCATGTGTGGGTTTTCCTCAGCTTTCGGTGTGGGACAGCAGCTGAAAGGAAAGATGGGACGTACACACAGGTGCTCACCTAACACCGTATTATACACAGGTCAAGGGACGCTTCTTACCCAACACTGCTACCAAGTCTGGGACTTGTCTCTGATGAAGCAAGGGAACAATGGGTAAACTGAGGCTGGATGAGGCAGGGCCTTACCCACAGCACCTCAGGGTGAGGACTGCATCCTCCGAGTAGTGAGCAGGTATTCACAAGTCTCAGGCAAGGGAAAGGCAACACCATATTTTCATTCTCCTCAAAGATCCCTTAACTCGACTCAGGAGGTGAGGTCTGCAAGAGGAGATGTTTTCAGGCCCTTTCAGCCTTTTCTGGACTGCAGTCAGGAGATGCTGTTGGCAAGGGGATGGGAAAAATGGATTCGCAACAAGTATTTAGAGTGCAGAATTCTGTCTATTTTCAAAACACTGGACAAACAAGGAAAAGGAAAGAGCAGCGGTGACCCTGGTGGGTGATGGTGCAATTCACTGAAAGGGGACATTAGACAAATGTTGGAGGGGACATACACAACCCCTGGGATAGATGAGCTCATCTCACAGTCCAGGGCATATGCACCTTCCATCTCCGGGACCTCAGGTTACTGTTTCATGCTGCGTCATATTTGATGCCTTGCTTAGTAAAGACAACAGAAGTGAACTTCGCTACACTTTAGATAATATGATTGTGTTTCTTCTGTATGAGGTATAAATCTGTAAAAAAAAACCAGACATGCTGGGCATTGAAAAAAGTGATTAAGGAATTATTAAGTCTTAAGAACAGAACAGATTTTCAGTAATAAAAACGGAGAAAGCCAGACTCCATGCTAAGTAACCAAGGGCGTGTTTACTCATGCATCTTGGTGCCTGCAGCCCCTGGAGTTTAGATTGGGGATGAGTGCGTGGAAACAGGCCCTCCTGCACACCCTGGATGTGGCAGGTGGAGGGCGGTGGAGCCCAGAGCTACTAAATTCTGATTAAGGAGAAGGAGCCCAAGAACTTCTGCATGCTTTATTTTTCTAGAACTATGAAGGCATTTTTTTCTTTACAAGGTGGCCAAGTAAAACTGCCTGGCTTTCAAGACATACTTCTCAATATAGTTTAATGTTAAATCTAACATTGTTAGAAAAAGTAACTTTTTCTTTGTGGAAGCAAACAAACTTTATCAAATAGACATTTTTGAACAAGAATTTTTTTTTTTTTGCATTTCCACTAGAAACAACAACAACAACAACAAAATTTCAATAAAGAAGGAACACCTAATTTACAAATCTTCCTGGGACAGGATGTAACATTTTCTAGAGTTCCCACAGGAACATCAAGGCACAGAACAGACATTTAAAAGACAGAGTCTTGTAAACAGTGACCTTATCTGACTGCACATTATGATTGTGAAGAACCAAGAAACATAATTTCTTTCATTTTGTTGACCTTAGAGGTTTGTTGGATTCCGTAAATATGATTTTTTTGATACTAAATTTAGAAAAGCTCAAAGATATGTAGATAATACAGAGTCAAAAATCACTTAGCTGGGAGAGAGCAAATGTATGCACTTTTGCATACTGTTCAGTCCTCATTAACTGGACCTCATGGGTCCACTCTAAGGCTTTGATATTACAAAAATATGGATAGTTACCATTGCACCTGCTAACTAGTATTTAGGGTATAAGACAAAAGGTAAATCACAGTGCAATGGTTTTGAATGTATTCACTCAGCTTCATGAAAGAATAACCAAATCCAAGATAACAAACATTTGAAGAAGGATACCCGCTTTCCATATTATCCATATTTGAATTTGACGCAGCCCATGTGTATAGTTAATGTAAAGCTTTCTGTAACTGCCACACTTTGAAATCAGGGGAAGCAGTGAAGGATTTGTTTTCAAATTAGATTGGAATTTATTGACTTGAATTCTTTAAATGGCCATAAAACTTTAATCCCCCAAATGTATTTTGCTCTGTAAAAAATCTCCATGCTTTGTATTTCTAGTGGTTATGTAACAAATTCAACATACCCGATCATTTTCCCTCCTCATCTTGGTACTACTTTTTGGAAGGAAACATGGGTGGTGATTACATTTAAAGTAAAAGAAGCAAGTACTGAGGAACGTATTTTGTAGTAGGTGAAGAAAGAAAATAAGAATAATTTGAGATGTAAGAATCTTGTGCTTTTTATTTAGCAGTACTCAGTAGCAACCCATACTCTCTACAGTAATCAGTAGAACAGATGTTGGACTTCCTGGGTGCGAACCCGTCCTTTACGGCATGAGCTTGAGCAAATTACTTAATTGCACTGTGTGCACACCTCATTTTTCTTTCCACGCACACTGGGGACATTAACTTTACCCACTGGAAGGATCGGATTTGACGGCAGGTGAAGCGCTCAGCACAGCAAACTACCAGACCACGGCAGGGGCTTAGTAAGTGTTACACATTATTACCACTGAGTTCACGACTTGGTACCCTAAACAGAGTGCTGAAAGCATTCAAAGGATCCAAATTATTTCCTTCCACAGAAACAAGATGTTTGATACATTTTCTGATTTGGGGGATTATTAGATACTTTCA